GTATGATTTAAATTTTAAGCACACTAATAATTGATCAATCGTCTTATCTACGGACGGTCATTTCCCAAAAAAAAAAAAGAGGCAATCTGCTGACAGATCAACTTATAAAAAGAAACTAAAATTTGTCTGTGTTTGAAATTTCGATTGTTTAAAAGTTCTATTTGAAAACGATACCACTGAAAACAAAAGTGATCGGTTAAAACAATACATATTCTTAGCTGGATCTAATTTTAGAGAATATATATTGCCGAGAATAAAAAACACCTTTTTTAAAAAATGCCTGAAATAATGTTTCATCATCCTTTTACCTTCTACGTAGTAGCTAGTATTATACATTTATGTGACATATTACGGAATCTGTATATTCCTTAAGATATCGTGTATTGAATAATTGTTAAAATTTTCTTCATCCAATAGTTCTACCATCCAAGTTTTCAAACATATTGAAAAGACGGAAATAATTCAAGAACTCATTAAAACTCAGGAAAACGAAAGAGAAGTAGTGGCAAGTTTTTCTCGAGGGGAGTAGTCATAACATATTAATTGATCGAAACAATATTGATTACCGAAAATATCAAGTATTTGCTAGTAGTTTAAGAACCTTCGGACTCATTACAAAATTTTTGTACGCTTCTGAGAGATGTAAAGATAGTTAATTAAATGTAATGAAGAACGTATATGCCTATAGGGACTTGTGCTCTTTTTTCCTCGCTCAGTGGCATTATGGAGTTGAGAAGCTTATACAGAGAAAGAAACTCCTAACCTGACGGAGATGTGTCTGAAACCATCCAAGGCCTTGCTGGAGAAAAGATGAACAGCAGAGGTTTTCCGGAGCTTGTGCCACCGTGGGCCGTAGGGAGCTAACACGAGGTCTTGATAGTCATAACCCATGTACTTGGCTCCGGCGTCGGCTTTTGTCGCCGAGCTTGCGCCGCCGTGGGTCGTGGGGAGAAGTTGGCGTCGTGAGCCTTCAAGACCTGCTCGACGACAGAAGCCGACGCCACCATGAAGACGTCGACGAAGCCAAGCCGGAGGTGCATGACCATAAGTCCGACCCAAATCGGCCAAAGCATGGGGCGCAGGGCCCAAGTGAGGCATGTTGCCGACGATAGGTCAGGGTTTGGGACCGGGAGGAAGTGGAAGAGACAGAGAAGGTCGACGGAAGAGGTTGAGAAAGCGAAAAAGAAGGGAAGCCAAACCCAGAAGCCATGGAGAAGTCACAGAAGCCACATTCGAAGGAGTTAGGATATAGGTAGGGGTAAGTGAAGTGAAAGGAAGAGAAGTAATAATGACAGGATTTGTGTTGCGTGATAGGATACACAGAGGTGCTGTCTATCTATCTTCTACTTTCTATATAAAATCTTGTAATACCTGTAAAATGGATCGGTTTTTGTAATACCCATTTGAGTTAAAATGGATTGGTTCACCTTCAACTCTCAATAAATTCGCTACTTATCATGTTCCGTTAACCAAGTCTTCAATATATCCGTTCAAAATGAATCCCCTTCTGCATTGATTACAACGTCTTTTCCTTTTCAATACAATTATGTTTCCAAATAAAGATGATTAAACGGCCACCTTAGAATAATCATGGAGCCCCTCCAATATCCAGACGTTCTTCATTTGCTTTGTCACTCAATTCAAGCCATCCCCATGATGACGTGAAGCAACTTTACTCCATGGTGAGAAAACATGGTCATCTCTTGTATTTTTTTGAGGTCCCTTCTAATCACCTGTGAATAGTAGTTGTGTCTTCTCTTGGAGTTTCAAATAGTGGTTGATTTGTTGAATCATTTTCTTTTCTGGAAAAAGAATCATTTTTTTAACTTCATTTCGCTTTCATCATTCTATTCCTTTCTTTGCATTAAATCTAGAATGATTGTTAATCTTTGACTGTTAATCTTTCTTAAATATAAATATAAAATAAACCCCTTGTAGCTCAACATTCCTAATTATGTTTGCAAATCTAATCCAATCTCTATTTATCTTGTGGTATTTCAAGTTTTTCTCTTATTTTTGTTGGTGAACAGGCAGGGCTGGATTACAAACTACTTCTCCAGTTATAAATATAAAATTTTTTTTATAGTGTAATTTATACTATAAAATGAGTTTTATATTTAGGACCGGAGTAGTACAGGTTGTTTTTCTCTGTATACAAATGCTTTTGTGGTAGAGATCTCCTCAAGTATATGTCAAAATCGATCCAAATCATTCACTGAATTCAGAGGTAGTGCAAGTATTGGGTTTCTCTTTAATACGATGATTGAAGATGATAAGTACAGATGGAGGAGTCGCGATGTGCTAACTCTATATATATAGATATATAGTATATGACCTTTATTTGTTTTACCTTTTGATGATTTTGTGTGTGTAATATTTTCAAAAATTAATAAAAGTGAGGTGTTTTTACCTTTCAATTAAATATAACGTTATCAATTATACCGTAACGCAAAGAAACAATCATGGCTAAGTTACACAAACATTAAGAGATGTTATTATTTTGTCCAATTACCTATTTAATCATTAATTCAATCATACTAACAAATGTTTTTCATGTCATAATATTTTTTCCTTGTAGAACCTTTATTAATACAATATTGATTTACACATTATAATATTATGTATTGATTGCGTTTTAATATTGTTATTACTAGAGGAAGATTAATGATTTGCCATCAATTTTTTCATATACATCGAATTATAAATCATTTACCTTAACATGCATTTATGCTCATGCCAAATTAATATATATTTTTAATTTGTGCATGATATTTGGTCCTCATTAACATGATTCTTAAAAAGAAAAGAAAACAATTAGAATTGATATCATTAGAATATGACATGTAACTGCATCAACCAACCCATGCATGGCATGGGGAAAAGTCACTACAACAAAATGTGTTATTTACCCCTCTCATTTATGTCTGTTTTAAAAAATAGAAGAGACTTCATGTCTGTTTCAAAGAAAACAGATGTTAATTCACGTCTGTTTACACCAACCAGACGTGAAGTAATGTCTGTTGCTTCAAAACAGAAGTTAATTCACGTCTGTTTACACGAAACAGACGTGAAGTAACGTCTGTTGATCCTAAATAAACTAGTTTCCAGTTTATTTATAAATTTGGGTTGATTTGGTGAAGTGTGGCGGGTTGTTGAATTTGAAGGAGGTTTGTCGTAACGAGACAAGGTCACTTGCGCGGCTTTGCGCCTTCCCGGCTTTGATTATTGATACCCGTCTACTGGAATTCTGTTTAGAGACGGAAATTTCAACGGATTATGTCCAATTTAAGTGATTCATATTTCATTTTATTTAAAAATTATTTTTTTTTGCCAACTTGTTTGGACATTATCTTATCATGTATAGAATTGAAATGAAGATAATTTTTTTAAATTATGAGTTTCTCAATTTTTTTTAAATTATGAGTTTCTAACAAATATTTTTATTTAAAAATTATAAGTTAAAAGTTTTAAACATAAACCGGTTCCACGCGGGGTGGCCTCCACACAAAATGTTCAATTACGCGGAGGCTTCAGCATTAGTTGTCATTATAATTGTGCTTCGAGAATGATAGATAGAACCCCTCACACCGTCATCATTTTAGTTTTTACATTAATTTATTTCCAGAATAATGAAAGGAATGAATGGGAGATGTTTGGATTATTAAGAGAATATGACTTTTGTTGAGTTGTTTCCTCGAGTGTTTTTTTTTTAAATAAAAAAAAGCACGACGTTGCGAACTTGAGCTTTCAATAATGTATATAATGAGTTGTGAATTATGGTTACAAAAAAAGGAACTCTTCGACCTAAATTTTTACTAAATTCATAATTTAGTTTGTAAGAAACAATTCTATCCGATCCTTTGTCAGTTTTAGTCCTAGTATAACTTAATTTCTACAAATTTTTTTATTTAATAAACTATAAATACTGAGTTGTATTTAATTTGAATCGATTCAGGGACTAAATTAATAATTAAAAAATTAGAAACTACAAGTTTTCCAAAAAAATAAAGTAGAACCTCTTTTTCTTTTCTTTTTCTTAGAGAGAAAAGGCCTGGTATTTTCTTCGAAATACCATATTATACGTCCAACTTGATTATGAGTTTCTTGGCTTGGTCATTCTTCTTCATGCATATCCAGGGTACGCTGTTAATGTTTGTTTGATTGTTTTTTATTTATTATTATTTTGAAAGTTGAAGGGGGTCAAACTCAAACATATATTAAACTATAGTCACTAAAAAAATAAACTAAAAGTGTAATCATAAAAAAAAAATGTATTGGATTAAAGAGAGAATGTAACTAATCTTTATTTGCATGTTATAAATATTAAGGTTATTAATAGGAGGATAATTAAGGGGAGTGGTCTTGAAATATCATAATCAGGGAAAGTCTTTTTAAAGTTAAATGAGACAAATAATACGCATAAAACTCGACGTACTCTTGATGAGACTAGCAAAATTATGGTTAAAAATTTGAAGGAAAGTTTTACAGTATATATTTGTTGTGAAAGGGGAACATAATAAAAACAATTTTTGATAATTAAGACAAGAAGCTTTAATTTCCAGGTAATTCTCATAAACTCTGACAGAGAAGCAAATCACGCCAACAACAATATATTCCTCCATTTAAGACTTTTTTTATAATATAAATTACGTTACAAAATGAATCTTATATTTAGGATCGGAAAAATTCAATTAAGCATGTCCTACTATATAAATAAAGTTATACAATACTATATATAAGGGTATTCATTCACGAACATGCAAGTGAAAACACGTGACATACACTAAAAAAAATATATGATTAGCAATAAAATTTAGTAACAAAATTTTAATTTAACGACCGAACATGTTAGGGTTTTCTCATCAAAATCATGGTCTTGAGAGGTATCCAAACACTCCCCCCTAACTGCTTATTCTGTTTACACTATAAGGACCAGAGCAGAGCAGAATTAAATTAATTATAAAATTTGGAAGGCTGGGCAGTTATGGTACAAATTGTTATTAAGAAGATCACATCAAAGTGGTAAACAAAGAAGATCAATGGAAAATCTTTAGATATACATCAAATTCATCACAAAAATAAATGCATAAGCAAGTAAACCATAAAGTTCATCAAAGAAATATATACTCGTCATTATTCTGATACATCTCTTAATAATTAACTTAATTTATTTCTACAACCTAATTGAACATCTGAAAAAACGGCAAGCATGCTGGGAGGCGCGCGTTTGAAAGCCTTGAGTTGAAGCTGAGGAATGAAATTACATGTAGGGCTCACTCTCTCACACTCTCGTAAAACTTGAAATTAGGACGAGTAGACATGGGCAGCAAGCCTGGGCTTTGGGTGTACGGACAGGGGCACCTTGCGTTGCAGTGTTATGCCGTACGCCTCCTCCATGTTCAGCTTTTGTGGGCTAAGCCCATCTGCCAGCTCCCACTCAAATGCATGGGCCAACGTCGCCGTCAGAAGCTGGACCGTCCGAAGCCCAAGGCTCATGCCCGCGCATATCCTCCGCCCCGCTCCGAACGGGATCACCTCGAAGTCATTGCCCCGAACATCCACGCCCGCCTTCTCACCACCCGGCAGGAACCTTTCGGGCTTGAACACCAACGGGTCGGACCACTCTTTCGGGTCACGAGCTATGGCCCACACATTCATCAGCAGAGTGGCTCCCTTGGGAATGTGGTATCCGAAGATCTCACAGCTCTCCGCCGCAATTCTTGGAAGCGAAAGAGGGGTCGAAGGATGAAGACGGAAGGTTTCCTTCACAAATGCTTGCAAGCATGGGAGATTCGGCAAGTCCAATTCGCTCACTAGTCGGTCCCCGCCAACCACAGAGTCCAATTCCTTCTGGATTTGGGCCAACATTTCGGGGTGTCGGATCAGCTCCGCTAGGGCCCACTCCGTGGTGCTTGCTGACGTGTCAGTCCCCGCCGCAAACATGTTCTGCAGTTTTTTTTTTGGAAATAAAAACGACTTCATTAAAAAGAAGATAAAAAGATTACAAGATAAAAAACTCAAGGTGAATAAATAAATAAATTGAAGTCGGTGGAAAGTAAAATAGGGGAGTACCAGAAGCAATGCTTTGATCTCAACGTCGTTGAGCTTGGTTTCTTCGTCGCCGGGGACTTCCTTAAGGGAAAGTAAAGTGCTCAACATGTCCTTGTGGTGGTCGCTCTTAGAACCCCGGTGTTCCTGGATTATGTTTGTGAGGAAGGCGTCGAATCTTTTGTGGAGCTTCTTCATCTTGGCTTGAACTCCTTGAAGGTCGAGCCATTCCAACGCCGGAATGAAGTCGCCGATGTTGAAAACGCCGGCCAGCACCATCATCTCCACCACCATTGACTTGAACTCGTCCGCCCGGGGATCGCATCCTTCCGCACCGTCATTGAACACGCGCCGCCCAATCATTTGCCTGGCCAGGGCGTTTGTGGTGCACACGTTGAGCAGTTGTCCCAGGGTCACCGCGCGGGACTCGGCTCTTGCCAGACTACGTGTCAATCTGGACGCCTCTTCCTGTCAATAATGCATTGCGTACATTCAATAAGCTGGCAAGAATCAAATTACTGCTTATGCAGGACATAATATAATACTTTTTAATTATTAATATAAAAACTAATTAATTAATTCAAGTAAATTAAAATTTTTAATTAAATTAGTTAATATAATATATTTTTTTAAAAATACCTACAATTTTTTAATGACATCCTTTTCTTTCTTACTTAATTATTGTTAGGAGAATATCAATAGGGTTAATTTAAAAAATATTAATAAACATATAAAATAGGATTTATATATAGAATCAATATTAACTCCCACTTGAATCCCACATTAAGGGCCCGAGAAGTAATTCATTATCACAAATCAAATAGGGAAAAATGTTGGCAAAAAAAAATCAAATCGAAAAAAAATTTATTTGGTATGTTTTTCTTTTTTTCCTTTTTTATTTAAAGTTAAATTGATTAAATAAATATAATAAAGAGCAGTCAAATATTTAATTTATAGGGACACATGTGCCTTTTTTTCCTTACGAGACGAACATTTTTAGAATCGATCTCTCCTTATATTTTTTCCCAGTGAGCTAATTATTTTATGAAAATATTTTATCTACACGAAAATATTTATTTGTCAGGACGTCTAATTTTTTTTTCCTGTTTGATGATGTAATGATGACTACAAAATGTTGTCAGTTTAAAGCAATCCAGAATTACAGCTTCTGAAAGCGATATAGGATCGGTTTATCAGTTTTGAATTGAACGGACTGTTTCTTTGGGACAATAAAAATAAATAAATAAATTATATCCAGTAAGAAGCAAGGAAGAAATTAAAACAGGTAGAATTACCGGCTCAATTTGGGAAAAGTACAAAAAACAGAGGTTACAAAACAAAACACGCAGTTTTTTAAAAAAATAGAAAAATATTGATGTGCTAACCCATGAGCCCTTATAGAACAAAAAAAATTATTTTCACACTGATCGCGCGTAAAGGTAAATCCGCCTATTCACATTCATGTGTTACCTGTTATTTTTCTAGTACATTCTAATCAGCTTTTGCAACCCCATAACTAAATTAACGTCAAGAAATAAACTAGAGTTCAACCCCACAGATATATTTTTCGATTCAATTAGTGAAAGTCATTAACAAGATCTTTCTTTAATAGACATGTTCATGGTGTTCAAAGTATATATCCATATCTTTTTATATATTCTCTATTTTCCAACATATGATATCGCAGAAACGATATATTTCTTAAGTGATCGTCTAAAGAATACTCAAAAGTTGTAAAATTCAAGTTGGGAAGTAGTTGACTAAAAACGAAATATAAAATATTATCCGAAACTCCTGCAAAAACACGAAGAAGAAGTAACAAATAGCTTTCGATTTCTTAAGGAAGTGGACATACATTGAAGGTGGTAGATCAGTTCGATGAATCATTGAGAACTCTAATTAAATTATGTTTTTTAGTCAAAGGATAAAGTATGCTTGTTATCAACTTAATTATTAGATCTTAAAAAAAATGATACACAAAGCTAGAATCCATGTATTTAGCTGTAACGAAAGAGTCAACTCACCTGACGGAGATCTCTAAAGTCGTCCAAGGCCTTGCCGGAGAACAGATGAACGGCGGAGATTTTGCGGAGAGCGCGCCACCGTGCGCCGTAGGGAGCGAACACGAGGTCGTGGTAATTATAAGCCATGTACTTAGCTCCGGAGGTGGGCGGTCGGCTCAAGAAATTGACGTCGTGAACCTTCAAGAACTGCTCGGCGACGGAGGAGGAAGACGCCACGACGACGTCAACGAAACCGAGACGGAGGTGCATGAGAGGGCCATAGGTGCGCGCCAGGTCGGCGAGAGAGTGGTGGGGGGCGGGGCCCAGGTGAGGGAGGTTTCCGACGATGGGCCATGGCTTGGGACCGGGAGGAAGAGGAAGAGAAGGGCGGTTGAAGAGCCTGAGAAGGCGATAAAGGAGAGAGGCTAAAACCAGAGTGGCCAAGGCCAGAAGCCATGGCGAGGGAAGGCCAGCCATATGAACTGTGTAAAGAGCACAGACGTACGGGATGCAAGGTTATGTGTGTGTTCTTATGAGGAGGTGGAAGAGGAATAATCTGTTGGGATCTGATGGCTTTCCGCGGGAGGGGAAGACCATATTTATAATATAATTGATGCTGAGAGGAGGAGGGGCTTCAGCTAAGAAGTCTTCATCAGCAGGGTTGATTATAATATTACTAATAACTATTGAGAGTTTTAATAGATTATTAGAATCATGAATGTTATTAGTATGTTTCTGTATTATTAAAAGGTTCAATTATATACGATGACTTTAAACATGGCTCAGCTTTTAAAAGGCTTTAATTATAATTATTAGAACGGGAAATTTACATGGTCCATCAGTAGAAAGCACCTCTCCAATTAATTAGCTAATTAACTAGGGTAATTAACTAACTAACTAGAGGTGCCAGCCCTCGGTTTCTTTTTCCTTTCTTGGGTGGAGTTGGCTGGCATGGGAGCCCAAAACGGTTCAAAGAATATTATATACCACCTCTAGTTCTAAGACTCTGTTTATAATTTACAAATAAGATTTTATAATTAAGACCGGAAGTAGTATGCCGGTATTTTACAACACGGTAAATGATGCGCGGGTAAAAAGTAGAAGAAAGAAAATGAAATTATATAATGTATATATAATATGACGCATATATATATGTGGCATTAATAATGTAATTTACATATATAGTTTGTAATTATAGTATATGGGTTGTTATGAGGGGGGGAGTTGACATAGGGAAAGAGAATGGGGGTTAGGTTGATGGAAATGCGGGCGAGGGGGTAGCTAGAGAGCTCAAGTTGTGGACTTTGGTGTTGAAGTTGAAGGGTTCAATCTCCTTTGTTTACTTGTATGTGCTTCCACTAGAGATGGCAAGAAACCGCCACATTTCCCTAATGGGATTTAACCAGTCTTCTCAACCTCTCCTCGTTTGCCGCCACTTGTCTTCTCCCCCTCTCTCTCTTTTAAATACCAGTAATAATTAATCTCACCTTTGACTATACGCTTTGTCGAATATTAGTGCGTCTTCCTGCCTTTTTCATTCTTTTATCAGCTTCTATCGTCGCTTTACTCTAATTCAGTACTAGTTGCAATGAGCTTAGTTTTCCACTAACCCATTTCGTATAATCACTATCCTTATAAAATTCATACACAATTGCGCGCGCGCGCGCACGATTTTTTTTAAAGAAAATATATCATCTGATCTTTCTCCACGTATTTCATTGACGTTGTGCGTAATCTCTTATCATCTTAGAAAGTGTTTCGATTAGTATTTTCAAAAATATTTTTTCACAAATCGAAACAAATTCTTTCATATATTTATTTTGCACATCGAAAAATATTTTTAAAACCATGTTTTGATTCTATCCAAACATCCCTTTGCTCAAATATTACTCATCGACTCACCTAATATATATGTAATGTATGGCCTCATCCAGTCAGTGTAAATTAATATCCATAATTTGATTAACAAATGAAAGTGACAAGCATGACGTATAATAGGTGGCAACTTCCAGTGTTACATTATTATGATATCCGCCTTAGTAGGTAACACTACAGCCTGAACTACCCCTCCCCCCAAAAAAAACAACAGAAATAAGTTTTTCCTCCCTTATCTTCAAGAATCAAACGTAATGGTTTGCCTTATAAAAAAAAAATTAATTGGAATGCGACGCGATCACTGAAGACAGGACCGTAGCAGTTTACAAACACACCACAGGTCTACTTATTTATTTTTTTATGCGCATATATTATTATTTGCTGATGTGGCTTTCCTTATTTACTTTGTATATGCACAGGAGATCGAGTTAAATTTCTTCGCGTGCACATGTAAGCAAGGAGAATATACTACCTCCTGTGTTTAATGTATAAGTGTTAGATGCCTAATTTGAAAAAATTTAAAAAAAAATTAGTTTGCTTATTTATAACAAATGTATGTTGGCTTCTCTGAACTATCTTATTTAATTATACATATTGAAACCATACTTTGGCTAGAATATCTTATAATTAATGGGAATATTTTAAGAAAAATGTGAGACAAAATAGATTGAGATCTTATATTTATAACCAAATTAAATTCTCAACTAATGCTTGTATTAAGTGCAGGAGGTAGTAATATAGATCACAGAGAGAAGCCAATCTTGGATTGTGTTGAGTGGGTGAAGACACGTGATGTGTGTGGTTAAGTGGCCGGAGAAAGATTTATGCCACGATGCGCATTGGTGAGAGAAATCTGAGCCGTAAATTTTCCCCCACAATTGAATGTGGAGAGATCATTTGATTAATTTGCATTGTTCGCTAGTCGCTTGATCTCCGTCTTTATATATACACAAACTACTTTCGTTTGGTATTTAATATAAGAGTTAATTTGATATCTAATTTGTCTTACATATAAGATTTTAATTCATTTTGTCTTTCGTGTTTATCTTCTTGTAGTAATTGCACACGTTAAATATTTCATCAAATGATAATGCTAACCAATACGTATAATTAGTAAGAATATTTTAAGAAAGACAACAGTACAGTACGCCTATCTATTACAAATTACTGATTTAACTAATTTTTTTAATATGCTAAAATTAATCAACTAGTTTTTTATATCAGTGACCGGATATAGTATATTGGAAGGGGAGCTTTATTTTTTCATCAAGCAAAGATTCCTAGCTAATTGTTGGCAAAAAAAAAAAAAAAATTTCCTACCTAATCACCGTTCCTATATTGTCGGCCGTTATACGTCCTCCCTTTGAGAGAGATAATAAATGGCATTTCCATGGATGCTTCAGATTTATCTGCTTCAGAGAAATGCTCGCTAAAAAACGATGCCATTTTTCAAATACAAAGCCTAGGCATAATTTCTGAATACTTATATATACACACCCCAATAAAATCATCCAAGCCAATTAATTGATTAATAGTCGACAAGTCCTTATATATATATGTGTGTATCCATGAATATATTCCTAATCGTACTAGTAGGAAAATAATGGGAAAAAAAAATGAGTATAAAGACAAGAAGTAAATCTCTCATACAAACCGGAAGCCACAGATCCTTATCCTGTTAATTCACTGACGTGGCTTGACTCGGGCCTAGACTGTAGTTATATAGTAAGAATGGATCTCATGAGTTTTTATAATGGACTTAATTTTAAGAAAACAAAATCTTAATTAAAAAAAAAAATCACGTGTAAGTAGCCAGAACGCAAGTAGCGGGCGGCGCTTGTTTAATTAAATCCGCCAAAATGTTATCGTCATGTTATTAGAAAAATGTGTTTTAATATTGTTTTACAACGCCCTACTCTTGTGTTTGCTTCTTTTTTTTTTTGGACACAAAATGAGAGCGAGATTTAGTTTATAAATAATTTAGCAGTTGACTTTGGAAGATTCTAAAATTGATTTTTTTTTTGGGTGCTCAATACATTATAGCTGTCCTGGAGGGAGGAATTCAACAGCGTGGTTACGATTTTTATTATTAAGTATAATTTTCAAGAATCAACGTACGATCTTGGGCATTCGTTCAATATATAAGATCATCATACTAAATTGTTGTCTTCCTGTAGCTGTATATTCTTCGTTTGAGTCGTCAGCACATTTTTTTTAAAAAAATATTAATTAATCTGACTTTTCTATTTTTTACGGATTTTTTTTAACTTTGACATTTCGTTAATTATTTCTTAAATTGACAATTTTTTTCATTTTATGTTTTATATATTTAAAAAATAATTGTCCAAATCAAAACATTTAAGTCATTTAAATTTAATCAGTAATTAATAAATCGATGAACAGGAGAAAGCAGAAGTCTACAAAGATAGAGAAGCCAGATCGGAAAATCACCCGGGCCGCACCATGAAATTAAAGTAATTAATTAAGTGTTTGAGTTGCAATTTTGCTACCCGTAAATTGAAAGTCATAATTTTTGGGGAATCTGCTGGAAACTAGTGGTAATCAACCTGAACTCATAGAAATTCAGCGGAGAATCAACTTGAACAGGCTGGATAGTAGATACACACACACATACACATACTGACATATATTGGCCAAAACAGGATATATTGTGTGTTATAGGATGTAACGTGAGCCTGGGGGTTTGGAAAAACAAAAAAGCAAAAACAAACGCAAACCTGGGGGGAGGGGATTTGTGAAAGCTGGTCAATTTTCAAAAGCAGCCGGCAATGGTTTGAAGATATTCTATTTATAAGACAAAACGAGAAGATTTTTTTATTCTATTTATAAATTATTTTATTAAATTTTAATGTGAATATATTATTTTGTCCTTCATTTATTATAAAAAAGTATATATAAATATCAGTAAAATTAAAAAAATGTTATATTTTAATAGAGAGTTAATATATTTTAAGTTTTTTTTATTTATATGAAATATATTGAAAGTATTTTTTATAAATAGAACAAAAAGAGTAATAAAGAAGAGACTTGATGTGTGAAGTGGCAATATGATTTAAAAATTTTGTAATAAATTAAGGCAGTTGCAGTTCATTACAACGCCAAGACCTGGAATCTTTCTATAGGTTTGTATAATTCAGAAATTGACTCGGTCTCATCCACGGATTGTCCGCAGGGTTCAAGGCTTTGAGACATTATATATTATCTGGAATTCTTGACAATTTCAAACAGGATTAAGGAACAAATTTACTCATAGTGTTTTCACTTATGAGTACATTCGAAACAATTTTTGAGTTTAAACTTTTATAATGATGCTAACCGTTTAACAGTAATGAGCAACGTTGTCATGATTTTAAATTTTCATGGCAAATTTATACCCAAACAAAACTTTCGGATGCTTTAAGAGTGAAAATTTTTGAAACCTCGTATATATTAATGAATTTGCCTGTGTTTATACTTGTATATCAATAAAAATTGCAATTTCAAATTTTCTCTTTGCTTTCCCTTTTCTTTTCTGGTATTTTTTTTTCGGTGGGGAAAATCTTGGGCTCTTCTTTATCTCAAGAGGCAAGAGCTGATACCAAACTTATTAATTAGTTCAACAAACTAATTAATATGAAGGCCTCACAAATTTCAACTGCTGATGATTAATTGCTTCGCCTAATTTCTTTTCCTTTTTCTCACCC